TCAGTAAAACAAAACTAAAAAAAACAAACAGTTTTGTTACTAAACGTAAAGCTGCATCGTGGGCTATCTGTGCTGTGTCCACCGCTGGTGTCCAAACCCGATTTTTAGTGACATAAGTTCTCAGGCTTACCGCTGAGCCACCAGGGGGCGAAACAAATAGTTAAGACATTTAAGTAAAATGAAAAGATGTGATATTGAGACTTATAATAAATAGCAAAACCCGTTGCTTCTGTATCTTACAATTCATTGAAAAGAACGAGAATTATGAATAAACTGACAAGAAACTATAAATAGTGAAATTAATTTATACATTAATTTTCTGGACGGGGAGGAACAGAACTGAGAGATTCACCGAAGAACGTTATCATTTGTGTTTAGCTGCTTCTAAACACGATTCCTCAGTTTAATGTTTCTCTACAGACGCCCCACGGTGGCTCAGCGGCAAGCTTGAGAGCATATAACGCTAAAATGGCGATTCCATACACGTGATGGGAAAGTGTTTATAGCCCTTTGTTGTGTCTAACTTTTCGCATTGATTGGCTCTTACATTATGTGTGCCCAACTCGAATTCTTGTTCAAAGAAGTGACAATTTCTATAATTATAGTTTCTAGAATTCAGTGGGACAATACATGCAGAATGATATAGGGTCAATTTAACCTTACATAAGTGGCCGTTTGGCTACTCGTGGTTACCAGTGTCGTACTCGGTTATATTGAATGACCGACCGAGTATTCTTTATATTTTGCCCACATAACTCTTCTTCTGTAACAAAGTGCCTTGCTTCTGACACGTGTGATCGTCAATAATAACCAACTTACATAGCTATCAGGACTCGGAAGAGGTGATGGTTTTAGACTGTCTTTGAAGGTATGTCAAACTTTGCCAGTATTGAAATATTGATGGTGTTAGAACGACTCAGTTACCACTTCTTTAAGAGCGTAACAAGACTGTACATAAGAGCCTCTCAAATTTTGTTTTGTTCTAAATGCATTCCACCAGGCATGCCAAATGAAGCTATATCGTTTAATATATGAAGTAAAGTTATCTGTAGAATGTGGCATAAGATATTACCATGCTCTAATAGTAATTTAATGTATCTCCTTTTCTATTCTGCATTGATCTTCTTCCCAGACCCCTCATAAATAAATGATTTTAGGGTTTGTTTGCAGTTAAGCACAAAGCTATACAATGATTTGTCTGTGCTATAACCTCCACGGGCGTCGAAACTCGGTTTTTGTGTTATTAGCCTGCATAATTACCTATGTGCCACTGGTTTGCATGATTTTAGCGAGATTTGCGATACTATTATTACAGATTTTTACAATCCTAACTTTGCTAGCCTCAGCCATATCTGTCACATTTCTTAACTGAATTATTCAGTATTTGTTTTCATTTTCTATTGCATAAAGACTATCTCCAAAATTGCGTAAAGTTTTACTAGTGCATTTACTATTTACAGTACGAGTTTCTTAAAAATGCGTCACTAACTGATTCTAGGGCGCTCATTTAGCAGATAATATCCTGTTAAAAACGATGCAAAAATAGGAATATAAAAGAAAGATTGGTACACAGCTAGACGTAATATCAAGACTGAAATAAAGCTCGAGGACTGGCCTTATTTGTCAGAGAAGATAAAAGTAGTAGTTTCAGTTGTTAAAAATAACCTTGCTAACAGTTTCTATGGTATTAACTTTTTAGCTTACTTCCTATAGGCACTAACTTATGGTTTAAGAAAGAGCAAACCCTTTAGCTTCTTTGTTAGAGAAGTTGATTGGCTTGTGAGAAGTCCTATTCGTGGATGATGTAAAAACTGTTTTTTCTACGTATAGTATTACTACTTTTGCGTCTTTTGTGAGCAAAATCGAATTACTCGCCTCGTAAGCCAAACGAGCGCTCTAACAAACTGTACTAATGTGTTAAACCCCAGCTACTGCTAGTTATTCACTTTTTAACAACTCAAATTACCTTAGTTTTTTGTTATCGGATGGCCTATTGACGTCATAGTTTTGAGTCTGTGTGTGTGTGTATCCAAGCCTGCAACATAACAATTCACAGACATTTTCTCATTGGTACAAGCTAGCAACCAGAGGGTTAATCTTACGTTTTGTATATTAAATTGATAATTTCATTTTACTCATTTCTTTGCCATCTGTTAGAATAAGTTAATATGTAGGCTGAAGAAATGGCTATGCTGGAAATGGGTGGTGTTTCTACAATGGTACTGAGGATGAACATTATATTTGATCTACAAATGCGCATAGGTGGAAACCATGCTCCTGTATTTGTGAAGTCTGACTTTCGGTTCGTCTTAGTTGATGGTATTGACTTTTAGTTTAAAATAGTCTAAGAGGCCATATAGTTTCTCTATTATACCAACTCTCTTTGTTTCTTCTTTTAGTTTTAAACAGTCCGAAAGACCATATTGTTCCTCTAGTATACCAACCCTCTTTGTTTCTTCTTTTAGTTTTAAACAGTCTAAGAGGCCATATAGTTCCTCTAGTATACCAACTCTCTTTGTTTCTTCTTTTAGTTTTAAACAGTCTGAGAGGCCATATAGTTTCTTTACTGTACCAACATTCTTTGTTTCTTCTTTTAGTTTGAAACACTATGAGAGGCCATATAGTTTCTTTACTGTACCAACCTTCTTTGTTTCTTCTTTTAGTTTGAAACACTATGAGAGGCCATATAGTTTCTTTACTGTACCAACCTTCTTTGTTTCTTCTTTCTGTCGCCAATCTCCTAGACATCTACTCACGTCTAGTTAATCTCTATTAAGAAGAGTTCTAAGTTTTGTGTTTAATTTTGCTTTCTGTTGGTTAGCAGGTCCCATATAGGCTTAGATTAGTTAGTAAATTTTTCTCTGCCCTAATCCATTTACTTTAATACTTAAGAAATTATTCTTAAACGTTCATTTGTTGAGGTTCTTTACAATTTCAAGACTAATATGCGTGATATAAGCAGGAGGTGCTTAATGACTCACCACCTTGCATTTGGTTGCTGGATAAGGTCTTGTTGTTATTTTAAATGACCAATGCCTTTCTTAGCTACGATTGCAGGCATACTTTTGTGTGGGCATTGGTGACCACAAGTGACCAAGTAGTTATCAAGATGTACATGGTCACTTCAATTAAATTTTGCGAAATCTCAGTATTCTTGCTCACTATCCACATAGTTTTGTATTTGTCAGTAGCCATTAACCTCCTATATGATTGATGACTGATGGTGTGCTGCTCCTTTGTACTATTCAGCATCTGATTGGCTTTTAACCACTTTATTAACAAGCGGAAATCACTCAACTAAGAACACCAAGTCGCATGTCCAATCTTCATGTAAAATGTCAACCAATAACTGCTTGGGAGTATACTGGCTGCCACTTCTTCTTCTGGGAGATCATTACTTTTATAGACTTCTTGTTATACGATGGGTGTTGTTGAAATGATATTCCTGTACTGGGATACTCTTTACTCTGTCTCCATGTTATTGTGACCCTAGAGCAAACCTTCACTAAAACTTACGTAATTTCTCCAACAGATTCCTACTGTAGTACCAATTTAAGCTAACATTAATTCAATACTAGATAAGGAAAAATTAACATAAATTCTGTATACAAAACCAAGAAATTTATAAGTGGTATCTATTTAACCTCATGAAAATCCAAACTAGACATAATTAGTAGCAGTTCAAAAATTTGGTTATTAAGTAAGTTTAAAAGGGAAATGATTCAACTGACATATTGAAAATGTAGACAAAAAAATGATAAAAAAGGTCAAGTATGTCTTTACAAATAAACATAAAGAACAAGAAACATATAACAACGAAAACAATGTAACAAAAGCCATGGCCATCTGGATCTTGGAACACTTCGGCTGGGCCTTAATTTTTGTTAAGTAAAGAGTGATCATTTTTGCGTTCAAACCTAAGACATATATAAATATATCTAACTAATAAATAACACTGTACTGTGTTTACGTGAATTTATATGTTGAGAGACAAGTAACGATTATCAATATTAAAGAATAATTTATTATCTGTAATTCACTTTATCTTTAACAAAAGTCAAGTTAGTGCCAAACAACGTGTAGATGAAAAAAACTAGGTCACATAGCAACAAAGGACCAAAATTACCAGTTAACCTTCTGCTTCCAAAACTAATCTTAAAACTAATATCTTTTTACCTTGTAGCCCAGCCAATCTTTAAAACAATATTTACACGATAATATTATCCCTCTGATATACAACCAAACAAACCAATGACGGGGTGGAGAGATCATGGTTTTTGGATACAGGCTACAATGTGAAATTGCACATATTATGATTGCTTGTAAGGAGAGATAAGCTGCTCAATGCACACCAAAGTAAAACCAAAATGTTGGAGTTTAAACTTTCGAACCTAAGTAAAAAATATATGTAGGCCTTAGCAAACAATACTATAATATAATCACTTCGTTGTTAAGCCTAATGACACACCTTAGACATTTCAGTGTTTTTGAAGTATCCGTTGTAGAAGTGTCACATATAAGTCATTCCGAAAAGCTAGGAAATTTTATATTTATGTCATTCATACAACAAGTTAAACAAAGACGTCATGTAACAACTCATATAGGCCAAACATAATTACAAAAAAAAAAGGAATTAAAATATATTTACATCAACATAGTATGCTTCTCAAAAATGATATAAATAAATATAAATAGTAAACAGGACCTACCGACAACTACTGGGGCTGTTCTTACATAATCGAATAATGGGATATTATGTCTGTCACTGTTATAATGCACCCACGGCCCTAAATACGACCGCACTTTTGGCGGTAACGGATCGCGAACCAAAAGTTTGCAAAATCGAAATCCGGTCACGTTAACCACTAAGCCATGCCCTGCCCAAAAAGAGTGACTATACGAATCAGTTAGAAAACACGATTTTGAAGATGTTTAAAAGGCGTATTTGTGAAAAGCATTGCCTAATTCGTATGATATGACGAAAAATAATAGGTACCTACCTGATGCAGAAGGTATGTTCTGTTCGTTCAGCCACTCTTGAAAGTCTAATCTGTATGTTCTGTTCGTTCATCCACTCTTTAAAGTATAAAGTGTATGTTCTGTTCGTTCAGCTACTGTTTAAAGTGTAAACTGTATGTTGTGTTCGTTAAGCCACTCTTTAAAGTATAAAGTGTATGTTCTGTTCGTTCAGCTACTCTTTAAAGTATAAACTGTATGTTCTGTTCGTTCAGCCACTCTTTAAAGTATAAAGTGCATGTTCTGTTCGTTCAGCTACTGTTTAAAGTGTAAACTGTATGTTGTGTTCGTTCAGCCACTCTTTTAAAGTATCAACTGTTCTAGAAGATCTGGACGTTTATATAGTGATGACAGCTTTCCTTTTATGGGCATATGTTAACAACATTCTTTGAATGCCTCTAAGCTGACTTGGTTTTCAAGGTGAACTTTCTCTTAGATAAGGTTATTTTTCTCACTTAGCTTGTTGGAAAAAGCATCAATGTAGGTTTTTAACCTTAGTGAATGAGTTGGTACGTGTCATCGACTTAAGGCACATCAAATATTGTAAGAACCGGTTGGTAAACATTCTGGGAAATCCACTTGCTTGTTAGACTATTATTATGGTTTACAACAATAGAAAGTGGCCATGAACTATATACACACATACGTACATATACAAAAACAGTCCAAAGCGGTTATTTATGTCTTATGAAAGTGTACCGGCGTCCCATTCGCACAACCATAAAAAATAAGATGAACACGTAAAAAAATTAAGTTAAGCACTGTCCGTTGACTATCATAATAACCGAATGTGTATTTTAGCCAACTCTAACAAATAAAAATAAAGCTACTATGATATACAAGTAGTTGGTCATGTAAAACTTTAATATCAATGATGTGGCTTAACAATAGATAAATAACTGTGAAATATACCAAACTTCACTCAGATTTGGCAATTTTAACTGGTTAAAGTCTGGGATGGATTCCTCTGGTATCTAATCATGTATGTATTGACAATGCACAGTAAAAGAATGGGGCATTACTTTTATCACCTCGAAGCAATTGTATCTATCTGTCATCAGCGAAATAGTAGTATTTGTTAAATGTTTTGAGAATAAGCTATTAATTTTTATTTCACAATTAATTAAAATTTCCTAAAATAAACAAAAGAGAACAAAATAAATAATATATTGTCAATTAATTTCTGATAAAAGAGTTAGCACACAGGATCACACACAAAAGTTGCAATGAATTAAAAAAATACCCAAAACTCTAGCGCTTTTTAATAGTTCACCCTTTTTTCTCCTGGAGAAGAACAGTAAACTATTCAAAAGCGCTCGAGTTTTGGGTCTTTTTTTGAAATTCATTGAAATTTTTCAACTTGAAAGTCATCTTTTGCACCGTGGTCTGAAAGATTAGGTCAGAAGCCCCTAGGGTTTAGGCATAGCCTTCCCTAACTTTGAATTACTGACCAGAGGGAAGAGACAGCCAGTCAGCAGCACTCGTCGCCATAAGAAGTTTGAGATGAGTAACAGGAGTTATTCACACTCATATAACGCTGAATTACTGACCAGAGGGAAGAGACAGCCAGTCAGCAGCACCCGTCGCCATAAGAAGTTTGAGATGAGTAACAGGAGTTATTCACACTCATATAACGCTGAATTACTGACCAGAGGGAAGAGACAGCCAGTCAGCAGCACCCGTCGCCATAAGAAGTTTGAGATGAGTAATAGGAGTTATTCACACTCATATAACGCTGAATTACTGACCAGAGGGAAGAGACAGCCAGTCAGCAGCACCCGTCGCCATAAGAAGTTTGAGATGAGTAACAGGAGTTATTCACACTCATATAACGCACTCACGGATGAAAGTACGGAACCCGTTAAACGGCATCACGTCTCGAACTTTAGACACCTGGAGTCGAAACGCTAACCACGTCTGGCCGTTTGTTTCGTTCAGGATATAAAAAATGTTTATCTTTTCATTAGAATGCCATTCAGCTAAACATATAAAGATTCTGTTAATCAACAACAGCGTAACAAGGAATAATGTCCAGAGAGTTAATTGCAACGAGTAAAATTATGAGAAACGGAAAAGTTACCAAGTATACAAGGTAAGTACACAGTACCTCAAAGTTCCACCAGGCTCAACATGCAGGTGAAAGCATGTCTTAGTCTACCAGTATCTTACTACGTTTTACACGGAAATGAAACAGAAAGGCCGGTTACTATCATATTAGTGTAGCAATTAAATGACTACGTAATTATGCCCCGTTCTGTACTTGATTTTCATATTATAATATATTTAATTGTGATGGCGATCTCAAATATAATGAGTAAAGTACGACGTGATAGGTGAAAACTGTGTTCAGTGAATGATTGGAAACGTATGATGTGATCTGACGAATCACGTTTCACCCCGTTTTTGTATTGACAACTGAATGAAAAAAATAATATAGAAAGTCACATGAGACACTAGACCCAATGTTATTTCAAAGGTGCAAGTTCCTGTAGGTGGTGTTATTGAGTGGGGAAAGTTCTTGTGGCAGAGGCTGGGTCCTTTGATTAGATCGGAAGGTCAAACAACACTCAAACTATACCTGAAGGTCATTGGTCACTCCATAATGTTTCAGTTCTATTCTGCCAGACAACGGCTATTCGAATACAATAACGCGACAATATACTGTGGTTGATTTTCCTGATATTAGTTGAAAGACACGATAGTTACTTCAGTCATTTTTCTTGGCGGCCACTACAATTACGTGATCTTAACCCAGTTGAACATCTTTGGCATAGACGTCAAACTAACCACTGAAATTCACTGCTGATATTCTTGAACCAACTGCAGACTCTGTCCTGGCCTGTTTATCATAGTGTGAGATACACTGAAAGGTCTAATAAGTCTAATATTGCTGAGGTTAATTTGAACAGTGTTCAAAGTAACTCCATTTTGACACACAAGCAATGGCAAATTCTTAGATATTTGACGGCAATTCATGCTTTTTTAATGAAACTAGTAATAGACAAGAATACAAGTACACAGTCTGTTACTTAACATCTAAGCCAAAATGAAAAGACTTTAGTAATGGACAAGGATACAGGTCCACGGTCAGTTACTTAACATCTAAGTCACAATTAAAAGGTTTACAATTCTATAATAACCTATGTACAGGTATAAGTTTGCAACAAAATCAAAAGCTTGACGTGAAGGCAGCCACTTTAAACCTTTCCTGCAGGATTATACTAGGATCCATTATATAAATATATAATATCCATTTATTCCATAAATGCTGAAAAACACCAATGAATATTCAAAAATAAATTATTTTTAACATTTCAGTGATATAAATCATGACCTAAGCATTTTCGCTTAAATTGTTTAAAATTAGCTCCGACCGATGGTAGCACAACAGATACCTTACACATAGTGTCAACAAAGTGAGGGTGTCACAAAAAAATCACAACGATAAGGAATCAGTTTAACATCTGTAACGTGTCTACTAATAAAAACAACAAAACTTTTTTTTAATTGTTAATGTATCCCTCAGCCACTAGGAACATAAATACGATCCGAATTAAAACAGATAATGACTTTAGCGTTTAGAAGTTGATGGTGGACAGTTTGTTTGTTTGTTTTGAATTTCGCGCAAAGCTACTCGAGGGCTATCTGCGCTAGCCGTCCCTAATTTAGCAGTGTAAGACTAGAGGGAAGGCAGCTAGTCATCACCACCCAACGCCAACTCTTGGGCTACTCTTTTACCAACGAATAGTGGAATTGACCGTCACATTATAACGCCCCCACGGCTGAAAGGGCGAGCATGTTTGCTGTGACGGGGATTGCGAGTCGAGCGCCCAAACCACCTGTCTATGCTGGGACGTTATGTCTTTACAGGGTTTGTTCTTTTATACAGTTTGAATCTTTTTCTGATATAGCATCCTTATACAGCTAACCTCTATATCCTAATTTGGGCATATTTTTACATTTAACTTGGACTGATAAGATGTAAACTTTACTTAAAATTAAGTTCAATAGGCATAATAACTTGCATTAGTATTTTTAGCTGATTTTATACGGCTGAGTCTTCTATACGTTATTATGGAAAATCAGCCAGTTTTAATCTCAGTTTGGAATTAAGCAATATTTCTTCCATAGACATCTTGGAAAGTTAGTTAAAGGTTTTTTTTCGTAGTCATAATCTTTTTTTTTGTTCTTAAAAAGATAGGTGAGCAATTTTATAGCAGTAACAGATAACAGCAGCTGTATGCCATAAAGTCACGTTTCTTGAGACATGATTACAAGTACGCAATCACTGAGTCAACGTGATTTAGTGATCAAAGGTCCCATTTTTAGTTCAGTGTTCCTGCGAAACAAATACCTGGTATTCTTCGCAGTGCCAGTATCAGCTGCTCGTGTGATTCTGTATACAGGGTAGTGTTTGCGTTTGTACTATACGTAATCTGTGTGTTTGTAGCGTAGCAGATCGTTGTGATTAGCATCGAAGACGACCTTCGTGCTTTCAAGTCCAGAAACAATGAGAACTTGTAAGGAGGTGAAGTTGTACATAATAATAACATTTTCTAGCTTTTTGTTCGGAGCACAGCTAGTAGCCAGTCATTTTACAAAATCTTTGGTGCTGTTGGCAGACGCTTATCACATGTTATACAATGTCCTCTCCCTCTTGTTGCTGGTTGTCAACTATAACCTGACCAAGGAAAGAACTCTGAAGAACACCTTCGGGTGGGCTCGTGTAGAAGTTTTCGGAGTGCTAGTAAATATCTTACTTCTAGTTGCTTTGTGTTTTCCTATCTGCGTGGAAGCACTCCAGGCGATGGTTCACGCTTCACATGAAAACACTCAACCTAGGTACCCACTAGGCTTGATAACCTTTGGTGCGGGTGGTTTGTGTCTGAACTTTATCTGTATAGCCCTGCTTGGAGGATACACACATCATCAAATCTGCTATTTCAGAGTTAATGGTGGCGACGTCCAGATCAACTTGGTACTGTGCACAGACGAAAATACCAGCAAATCTGACCAATTACAGTCAGTCGAAAAAATCAGATGCGCCTCATCAAATGACCAGTCATACAGCATTTTTAGCCACAGAACCTTGGAGTCCTCTAGATGTTTACGTCGAATGCTTGACTTTTTACGTGACTCGTGCAGTTGCTTTTTGGTCATAATGGTGGGTTGCTGTGTCCTTTATCTGGATAGTCAAGAGTTGAATAAATACGTTGATCCCGTTGCTGGTTTGGTCATTGTTGCTGTACTAATCGCTACCAGATATCACTTTATGAAGGAAAGTGGCATGATTCTCCTCCAAACTGTACCTGATTACATCGACGTTCAAGAGCTGACCAAGCGTCTCATGGCAAAGTTTCCAGTTATTCGTAATATACACGATTTACACATATGGCGACTGACCGGCGCCCACGCGATAGCTACTGTACATATAATCCTGGACTATCCTAGTGATTATTTAAATATTGCAAACCAGATGAAAAACTTCTTCCAGAGCGAAGGAATTGTTTTTGTGACTGTTCAACCAGAATTTTTTCAAGGTGCCGGATTTCTTCAGAGTATGGATTGTGTTCTCCAATGTTCAGAGTCTCAAACGTGTAGGGCTCTCACATGCTGTGGGCCACTACGAAGATCTTTCACGACAGAAGAAGAAGAAATTAACATCTCTATATGTCAGAGGAAACCTTATGTTAACAGCCCAGAAGTCTCAACTACTAGTCAAAATTATCAGGATCAGAATCATTCACAAAACTTGTGTGCCGAGGCTGGAAGACACAAAAAAAATACACCGGACAAAACTAACGTTGACTCTGATTTATTTGGCAGAGATTTTGCAGAATATATTTATTATTTCGAAAACTTAGAAAACAGTAAGGAAACAACTGTGTGACACTTAGAAAAGATAAAAGTGACAAATCTGTGAAACCTGGAAAACTTCAAGGAAACCAGATTGAAATAATTGGAAGAAAAAAAAGAAGGGGGGGGGATGATCGTTGTTGCCACAAGATATATACCAAATTCATGTGACAATTCAAAAATTATAATGGCCACATGAGAAATGACACCTGAAATACAAAAAAAAAAAGAATCGATGTGAAATTTGAGAAAAAAAAAAGACATAACAAGAAGTTTGAATGTAGTAAGACTGAGGAACGTAATGAAAATCATTTGCAGTTTGGAAAGTGGGGATCACATTGTGTGTGTGTATCTGATCCCTTACACAAAATATTTTTACCCCAGGAAAAACGGAAGAAAATAGTGCGTGGTTCACTGAAAAGCGTAAGAAATGTGATTTACAAGATTGGATGTTTTAACAGAAAATTAAGTACGATGCAGTGAATAACGTTTAAATGTGATGTATTAAATTATGATGTTATGAAGACATGGTTATTAAGAAACTAAGATCTTATAAAATAATAAGCTGACTATAAAGATTAGAAGTAATCAAACAATAACAAAGATCAACGAGGAAAATCCTGTATAATAAACTAACTAAAGATATTTAACATTTTGCATCAGTACACTAGAGGATTAAAACTTATCATGATTAGATTCTATTCAATTATTGGTTGTGTACCTTTACTGTTAACGATGTTTTCGACCTTAGTCAAAAATCTGCGCCATGAACTGAAAAGAATATGTTTTATATGTGATTTACAAAGAATTTAGTACAATAGTGTGTACCTTTTTTAACAAGTAACCAATTTGGGATATGACACCGATCAGGCCGTGTAGAAAGTTATAAGAACATTTAGGAATCTTCTGCTGACACTTGGAAGATGATTTAAAATCTCTGTTGAACGTTAGAAAAATCATAAATACCTTAGTTAATGTGACAGTGATAAGAAAGAAATTCGTAACAATATAGTTATAGAATACTTAAAATTATTATTTTTATTTTTGTTTAACGCAAACTGAAGTTTATTATGAGACATTTATATAAACGTAAATATAATCACGACCTATATCTCCAGGATGTAACTTTATTTGCTCAAAATTGTGCTATTATAGCTTCGTCAACAGCTATCGATATCCTACAAGTTCATTAATCCAGTTAAATATCCTGGATAAACTGGATTAGTGAACTTGTAGGATATCGATAACTCCTGACGAAGCTGTAATAGAGAAATATTGAGCTAATAAACTTACATTTTGGAGATATAGGTCATGATTTTATTTAAGAATATTAAAAATGTTGATTTGACCAACGTGTTGAAAGTCTCATGTTGAGACATTTACTGAACTGAACGAATGAGGAAATTGCTTGTTTATTATTAAACAATATCGTGTGATTAACATACGGTAACACGAAAACTTGGATTTTTGCTTCTAGAAACTAACTTTTGTAACAATATGGCGACTTTTCAAACAGTAGTGAAAGTGTTAAGATATTGTAGACCTAATTTAAAAAATATAAGATATCAGATGATATTCTCTGCTAAATCCTGTAATCTAACAACCGGAAAAGCAGTTGAATTAAGTACTTACAGAGTGAATGAAGGTTGAAAGTCTGAGTTTCGACTTAAAAAACAGAGAATCACAGAATTCTGGAATTCCAACTATTCGGACAAACGGCATGCAAAATCCTACGCTTGAATTTTACAATTTGACTTAAATAACCTCAGTTGAAGACTATTGGTCAATAAACGTTCTTTTATGTACAATTCCTGTTCATTGTTATATTTAAAAACCATGCGCTAAAGAGTGTAAAGAACCTATAAGTTTAAAGTTCTCGCTAGAGTGAGTAATGAACAGGAACCGTATATAAAAGACAGTCCATATGAATCAATAGTTTTCAACAGAGGTTAAGAGAGCAAAATAGTGTAATTCATTTGTTATTAATCTTGTAAGCACTCTTGCTTTATAAACCAGAGAAAGTCTGGCTCAGGTTGGTTGCTTAAAATGTGACGGGATTTACATGGGTGAAACGCTAAAACTGGTTACCCAAAATTGATGGATTCCACATTGTTGAGAAGCTAAAAATAATTACTCAAAACGTGATGGATTTTATATTGGTGAAACGTTAAAATTGATTATTCAAGAATCCATCAATTTTGGGTAACCAGTTTTAGCGTTTCGCCAATATATGATTTATTACATCTACATTGTTGAAAAGCTAAAACTAATTACTCAAAACGTGATGGATTCTATATTGGTGAAACGTTAAAATTGATTATTCAAAATGTAATAAATGATATATTAGCGAAACGTTAAAAATTTGTAGAAAGTGACGGGTTGTATGTTGCTGAAAGGATATAATTTGGTAAGCTATGTACTGGTATAATGGGATGAAATTTGGAAGTTAGATTGGAGAGAGTAATATAAAATTCAAATAGTTTTATTTCATTTGAAGAAACAGACGATGACAAAACAGATAATTAAAGCTCATACTGGATTTGAATTAGAAACCAAACATATATGATAATTAATATAAACTTCTGTGCTTGGCCTACTCATTTGGGATCAACACCCTTGCTGGTCTTGAAATTGTCATGGAAAATTTCTATGCATCCTCGTAAAAGTGATTTTATATTTTAAATTGTGATTGATTCTCTGCTATTAACTCGCATCCGTTTATCGACATCGTTCCTCATAAAATATGTTGCTCTAACTTAAAAAACGGCTGTGTAAACTCACTTTTTTTCTCTCTCTCTCTCGAAGTATTCAAGGTATATATAAAACTCTTGTTTTTTGTCTCGAGTTTATTTCGTTGCCACTTTTTCCTGGTCTATAAAACTGAAATCATGAACGTTCAAGGACTCTCATTATCCATGTGAACTAACATATCATATCTTGAGATATCATGATTTATATGTACAAACATGAAACATTGACCTGAAAATCCAGTAGTTTATCAAATGAGAACACTAAAGGGAACAAAGGTGTTGATTATATCTTTCTTGTTAATATTTCTTACACGCATAGTTATCTGGGATTTATTTAGTTTTTAAACGAAAGCATATTGGTATACACATCGAATAATTAGAGCTAAAATTAAGTTAACGTTTCAGGTATTCGTGTAAAATATGTTCCAAATTAAGCCAATATTGTTTAGTTTCTTTTGTATTTTTAACTGCCGTACTTAATGTAAAGATATGTAAAGATAATGTTAAGGTATAATATTTCGTGTACGTCTTTTAAAGATACACATTTTCTCTATTAATCAAGTAAAACTTTTGAAGCTTGTAAAGTTTATGAAATGATACGTATCGTTAAAGGCTTATAATGCTCTATAAACAGAAATGTGGTTTGAACGATTAAAGGTAATCTTGAACGCTTCAGTTGTCCTAGACAGTAGCAAAAATGTCGTGTTGCGAATACATGACACGTTGAAAGATATGAACATCCAAGTTGTCCTTTGATACAGTAGGTGTAAGGAAAATGACATCATCTGATTTCTAATGGCTATCTGAAGAGTATAGTACTGATACTCACAGGAAACTTTGTCCACTGTGTCATGGAGATGCTAGTTTGTGACAAGCATTAACTCCATGTTCCAGTATGTGCCTGGTTACGACAATGTCACTCACGAGCAGATAAAATGAGACAAAATGCCAGGGATCAAAATACAAGTTGTTACAATATTTCATATCGCCGGTATGGTTAACTTTATACAGGTTATATATACAAAGAAGTAATTCGAATGCATCATTTCAGGCTCAAATTTCAAAACTTGTGATAACAAAAAACACTTCATTGTTTCTGCCATTTTGGAGAGATACAGCTCTTATTTCTTTATTTGTATATTTTGTCTATTTTAATATTTGTCAAATGTCATCTGATACGATTGGTTTTGGCATCATTTATATCATTTAACATACGTACCATTAAATGAAAGGAAATACTAACTTTATATATATATTACGAGTTCTATGAATAATATGCTTTATTTTCGATCATTGAAATATTTATTTATATTAAAAGAAAGTATAGTAATGGTGAAAAACTTAGTGAGTTAAAATAACGTTATTGGTAAACACTAAAACAACGTTTCGGGCAACAATCCTTCATCGGGTTTAATAGTTTATTATTATTATTATTATGTTTACTTATCCATTTACTTTACTTAGGAATAGGCAGTAAATGACATTAGAGCATGTTGCCTTTCAAGACGTAGAACATAACAATATAATATTCAGAACCAAGTTCTTAGATAAAAATCCCATTATGTGCAGTGAGACTTTACGAAAGATAAAAAGAAACACACGCAATTTTGCTGATTGAAGTTATTGTTCATATAACTGTACAAGTACACTCGATACCAAATATGTTTCAAGGTTATTGTTCGTATCTAGTTCTTTTGTGTAGAAAACATACGTGAGTATTTATCTATGCAGCTTTACAACTGAGTGCGTACTTTTACATTTTTTTTTTAAATCTGGGTTGAAGTTGAGGGATGTTTCATTATTGCTATTTTTGGAGATTCAAAGGAAAATACAGTATTCATTTCAATAATAGTGGTAATTGTTTGGCCTTCGTAGCTTATTTTCATATTATACTATTAATACACTCACGTGATCATTATAGAGGTTGGAATTTAGGCCTATAGGTGCCTGATATAAAAAAAAAAAGATGTGTTACGGGTGACCCTCCGCCCCCAAGTGGCTCAGGCGGTAAGCTTGACAAGAATAGTGTCAAATGCATTATCGGGAAAATACACATCGTTGTCAAATAACGTTTACTAGATAACAGTAAGAGCGATGTAGGTTTATTAGATAACACATAAATATCAACGTTTACCAAATAGAAAAAAAAATAGAAGTTCATAATTCATTTTTCTACGAACAAAATTATGATAAACATTTTAACCTAAAAATTCAAGCATCAGGAATGTAGCGGTTATAAAAAAATACCGGCTTTAATAACATAACTTATTAATACGAAATGTTT